ATCGCGCTGTCGCCCTCCCTGGGCTGCACACAGCAGGCCAGGATCTCGTGCTGGGGCAGCCAGAGGCTAGGGATCGCGCTGCTGCCAGCCCCAGGCGGGGCGGCGCAGCGGGATTTGCCTGCAGTATGCAAATTAGCTGCCATCTTTGTTGACTGTTAATTTGCATATTGCTCTGATTAGCCCATGGGAGGCGTAGCGAAGGTACGGTCAATTACCATGTTTGTCTATTATTAGATTAGACTACAGGCCCAGCAGTTGTGCAAGGAGGCACCCTGCAGAGGGCCGGGGCAGGTGCTCCTGTGTGTTGTGTCTCCGCTTCGGCCGGCCCCAGCCCCAGCCTCCCCGCAGCCGCTGGGGTGGGGTGGCACGAGGTCCTTTCCTGCCCATCCACGTGCGCAGCTCCTCCTGAGCGATCGTGATGCAGCCTCCTCCTGAGTGGTTGTGATGCTCGGCTAATTAGCATATTTCCTGTTTATATAGATAAATAGATTACTTTCAGGTGTTCAGTATAGTGGTTAGACAACCATATAATTTACAAAGTGATTCCCCGAATATTTTAAGTACCTACCTGGCACCACACATACTTATTATTATTGACTATATTTTCTGTGTTTTACTTCTATATTGCTATGACTATTTTGTAACTACCAATTTGTTCTTCTTAATCCCTTCACCTTTTTCACTTGGCCCCCGAACTCTCTCTCCTCTGGCAACCATCAGTCTGTTCTTTATATCTATGACTTTATTTCAATTATGTTTCTTGTTTATAAGTAAATTATTTTGATATTTTCTTTCTCTGAATGACTTATTTCACTTAGCATAATAACCTCTAGATCCAACCATGCTGTCACATATGGTAAGATGTCAGTCCCTTTTATGACCAAGTAGTATTCCATTGTATATATGTACTGCAGCTTTTTTGTCCACTTGTCTATTGATGGGCACTTCAGTTGCTTCCATATCGTGGCCATTGTAAATAATGCTGCAATGTATATAGGGGTACATGTATTCTTTTGAATTAGTGTTTTGGGTTTCTTAGAATATATACCCAGAAATAGCTGGGTCATGAGGCAGTTTCATTTTTATGTTTTTTTTTAGGAACTTCCATACTGGTTTCCATAGTGGCTGCACCAGTTTGCATTCCTACCAAAGTATATGAGGATTCCCTCTTCTCCACATCCTCACCAACATTTGTTGTTTATTGATCTGTTGATGATGGCCATTCTGACAGGTGTGAGGTGATAATCTCACTGTAATTTTAATTTATTTTTCTCTGATTAGTGACATTGAGCATCTTTTCATATGTCTATTGGCCATCTGTATGTCCTCTTTGGAGAAGTATCTATTTAGGTTCTCTATCCATATTTTAATTGGATTGTTTGTGGGTTTTTTTATATTGAGTTGTATGAATTCTTTATAAATTTTGGGTATTAACCCTTTATTGGATTTATCATTAGCACATATATTCTCCCATTCAGTAAGATGTCTTTTCATTTTGCTGATGGTTGGGGATATTTTGCTGTGCAAAAGCTATTTACTTTGATGTAGTTCTATTTCTTTATTATTTTTTTGTTTTCCTTGCCTGAGAAGGGTATATATCAGAAAAAAATATTGCTAAGAGAAATGTCAGGGAATTTACTGCCTATTTTTTTCTGATTATAGTTTTAAATGTTTGAATTTAGGTCTTTAATCCATTTTGAGTGTACTCTTGTATATCAGCGGTTCTCAACCTGTGGGTCGCGACCCCTTTGGGGGGCGAACAACCCTTTCACAGGGGTCGCCTAAGACCCTCGGAAAACACATATAATTACATATTATTTTTGTGATTAATCACTATGCTTTAATTATGTTCAATTTGTAACAATGAAATTGGGGGTCACCACAACATGAGGAACTGTATTAAAGGGTCATGGCATTAGGAAGGTTGAGAGCCACTGTTGTATATGGTGTAAGAAGGTGGTCTAGTTTCATTTTTTTTGCATGTATCTATTCAATTTTCCCAACAACATTTATTAAATAGACTATGTTTACCCCATTGTATGTTCTTGCCTCCTTTGTCATATATTAATTGACCCTAATGGCGTGGGCTTATTTCTGGACTCTTTTCTGTTCCATTGATCTCTGTGTCTGTTTAATGTTGTTTTGATTACTATAGACTTTTAGTATAGTTTGATATCAGGTAGTGTGATACCTCCAACTTTGTTCTTCTTTCTCAAGATTGCTGTGGCTATTTGAGGTCTTTGTGGTTCCATATAAATTTTTGGGTTATTTGTTCTAGTTCTATGATAAGTGCCATTGGTATTTTGATAGGGATTGCATTGAATCATAGATTTCTTTGAGTAGTATGAACATTTTAATGATGTTACTTTTCCCTCTCCATAAGCACAGTATATGCTTTATTTGTGTCTTCTTTCCAAGTATTATTCCTATGTATTTTATTTTTTTGATACAACTGTAAATGGGATTATGTTCTTAGTTTCCCTTTCTGACTTAGTTCATTATTGACGTA